GCCAGCCAGGTTCAAAGCCCCTCTATCACACCTCACTGTGCCGCTGTAAATGCGCGTTGTGGCTACAGACGGAGTTGGTTTCGCCTCGGCAGGGAGAGGATGGGAATCGAGAGTAGGAACTACAGAGGGCTACTAAGAACTTGACACTATTCTCCAGAACTTGGTACAGAACAGAGCAGCCAGGACCAATCTGGAGGGGCGGGGTTGGCTTCCTAACAAGCCAGGTTAATGGTTGAAGTGGCTGCCCTCAGCTCAGAATGGGCAGCTGGTCCTAGTGTGGGAGAACTTGGTGGAAGAAAAACACAAGGAGGAAATTGACCCAGGGTCCAATACCTTTTCATTCCCTGGATCACAACACACCAGAGAAGAGGAGTCAGGAATGTCTCATTCCTAGATTTACCGTCTCTCCCTGCCAGTGCTCCCTCCCACCTGGCAACTCGGCTCTCCTTTCCCGACAGTTGTCCTTTGACAGAAGGAAAGCGCACGCCAGTTTGTTGTTGTGTTTTTCTCATACTGAAGTACAGCACTGAAGCTCAAAATAGAGGTGAGAATGGAGTTCTTCTTTGCCTGGTGCTACATGCCCCCATCTCACAAGACTGCCTGGATGCAAGAGGTGCCAAGGCCTTCTCTGCCAACTCTAACAGGCACTACTGTCTCCCTGGCTGCCAGCACAGTCCTGGCTCCTTGTTTTTATACTCCTGGGGGGAACCCATCCCGAGAGATCTATCCTGCTCTTTTCCTGCCAACCCAGCCCGTCCCCAAATCATCTGCTCTTATCAAAACGATTTGGCAACCTAAAGTAGGCTAGCCAAAAGGCAGCTGGGGAAGGACTAACCAGATCGGCCGCAAGCCACCCATGTACAAAGAAGAAACCCGCCCTTGCTGGGCAGCTGACCTATTGCTGCCAATCTCGTAACAAAATGAGGAAGTCTAGCCTTCTTGCTCCAGTAGAGGTCTCAGTACAGAAAAGAGTCCTCGCTTGGACTGAAAGGGAAAAATTGCTCTGAGCTCTCTGAAGCTTGAACATTAAGGCTTCTTTGCAATTTTCTTAGAGCTCCTTGATCCCTAATTATATCTTTCCATCAAAGAGAAGCAGATTTCTCCTAAGATTTCTGAACAGATCCTAGGTGGTACCGGTTCTGCCTCTGCACTATCACTAGCCTTATCCCAGGCTTCTTCCCCTGGAGCCACAGCAGAAGGGGATCCAAAGCACAGCCCCCTCTTTTTTAAACAGAAGCATCTGTTAGTCTCTCACTTTGGAAAGTTCACCTGCTCTCCTCGGTCCTTTTGGAAAGGCATGGAGGACAGTGTTACATGTTGCCACTTGATGACATTAAGGCTCCTCAAGGCAAGACACTTGAATTAGGTCAGAGCCAGCCAGCAAATGGGAGGGGGAAGAAGGGATGGGAAAGCAGCCCCATGGCAGGGACTGAAAGACCCCTGCCCAGACCTGAATCTAGAGGGAATGCCCACCCTGGCTCAGAGCAGGAGAGGAAAAGGCACGTGCTGACCGGGGTGGGTCTGTCCCCAATCCCCAGGGAGGGTAGAGAACCTGCTGATCCTTTCCCTGGGCTTCCCAAGGTGAGTCCATTTCTAGGGAAAGGTATATAAGTGCTAGGAAAAGGAATATACTGCTGCTGTTTTCTGACTTTCAACTGAGATTCCAAAAGCCATAGGCAGGCCTTCCCATGAGAGGGTACAAGCAGGATAAGAAGGAAGTGAAATTCCTTAAAATGAAAGCTTCTCCAAAAAGATAAAGAAGTCAAATCACAACTCCGAAACTGGATTAAACAATTCCCACACACAGAAAGAGGAAGGTGAACTTACTCAAACTTCGCGCCATCTCTTTAAAGCCTAAGTGACCTCTCATGTGATCCCCAATTTCAGGCCAGTATTTCTTAGGCAAACAATGGGAACAAAAGAATAAGATCACACGCTCAAACCAACAGGTGACCCTGCAGGCCCCGGGGTCCTCCTGGGAGCCTAACCCCACTCACACCTAAAGATGACCATCTTGTAAGTCACTGGACCTCAACGTACCCACTGAGCAGCTTCTCCTTAGAGTGGAGATTTTCTGAAAAAAGTGGATGTGGTTTAGGGGACACGAGTCCCACAGACTGTTTCCTGGAGCAATGTTTCAGCATGAGTGAAGCCCAAAAAAGTCCCAGTGGAGGCCAGCTGGCCCCTGACCCAATGCAGACTACACTGCAGACTCTCAGCCCATCTTCAGCAGACCCCTTTGCGTGGTCCACTCAGAACTGAAGCCACACTTCTGGCAAAAGGAGTTCCACCTTGGCCGTCGGCTCTTAGCTTCGGCGAGCTGGGCTCAGGGGGATCTAAAAACCTAGGCAGCGCATGGATCCAGTAGAAGAGCCCAGGCTTCTCTCCCCACCCCTCACTGGCATCACTCATCACCCCCAACCCCAGTCAGAACCCCGGCAGTGCAGGCTCTCAGTCCTAGCACTAGCTCAAAATACAGGCACGGGAACAAACAGTGCAAAAAGCAAAAAATGAACTACAGAGTAATTCTTGACCCAAACAATACAAAAATAAAAATAAAGAGTGCCCCATCCCACCCTTTAACCTAAACTTCATGTACCTATATCATCTTGGAGGAGTAAAAAAAAAAAAGCTTTCAAGTTCAGCATCATGAGCCAGCTGTGTCAGCCCTTGGCTCCAGGGGACTCGACCCCAGCCCCCACCATCTCTTCCTGTTTCCTCATTTCCCCTTTAGTTTTTGTCAGCCATAGAAAGATGTTCCTTCCTTTCAGACACAACCAAAGAGGAAAGTGCCCATCCCTCTCCCTGAGCTCAGGGGAAAAGGGTGGGCTTGGAAACAGGCAGAGCAAAGCTGCTTGGCTTACAGTACCGTTAGGAAACGGCCCCAAGAGCCAGGTTTCCTTCTGAGACTCTGAGTCACTGAGGGGATGGGTTGAGGTGAGGAGGCAGGGACCCCTCCTTCCTCAGAGAAACCCAAGCAAACTAACAAGGCGGAACGGAGGCAGCAAGTCTTCCTTTCTCGTCTTGTCAACTGTACTGGCAGTGGCCTCGGGCTTTGGGGAGTTGTGATAGAATGGGAATCAAAGCCACTCCAGAAGCCCAGTTAATAGTCAGGATGTCCACTGCCCCAGACAGGTGGTCCCAGGATCAAGGCCACAGGACATCCTTTAAAGCAGGGAGCTTGTGAAGCACTCCAAAAAGTGTTCCTCTGATTGCAGCCCAGGCCGCAGCCGTCCAGCCGCCTGACTCGCTACCCTAGCACTGAGGCCTATGTCACAGCTAAAATAAAGGGCTACAACAATCAAAGAACAAAATGCTGGCCTGGAGGAACTCAGTAAAAGCCAAAACCCAGGCTATGAGCCCAAGAGCTACTTAGTTTGTCACTAACAAAGATGGAGCCTCTTTAAAAACATACCTCAAAGGAGAAACTCAAAATTAAACATATTCTTAAAAAAAATTGATCTGGCCTGATATTCTTTGCTGCTCTAGCTCAAGCAGAAACGAATCTTGCTGCCTTCCCTTTACAAAACTCCTTGTAGCTGGGAGAAAGGTGACAATGACCAGAAAAGAGGGAATCAGGGAAGCTTCATTTTCTGCAGAAAAATTTCCAGGGAATTCAAAACAGACACTTAGATGCTAAGGTTGACTTCAGAACCGCCAGGACTATGGCTGACTGGAAATCTTTCAGCCTTGTCATACCAAGAATCTGACTGCTACTTGGATAGGAAAATGAATGGACAGAGGGGCATACTATTAAGATCAGTGAGCAGTGTCACTGGGTCGGATATAGACAACCAGTCTATTTCCTTGGGGCAGCTCTAGGCATAGCCCAAAACTGGTTGAACTGTGACATAGAAGGACATAGGAGTAAATGAACATCAGATTCTAGACACTCTAAACAGTGGTCAGTCACTTAGTAGGACTCAAGTCTCTGAGGGTGCTCTTAAATTATGCTAACATAAGCCTTTTCTAATCCCAAGACCAGAAGAGACTCTTAAGGTCAAGTGTTCTGTTGCTGCAGGCTGGAAAGCGTCTCTGTCTCCTGGCAGCAAGACCCCACAAAGGGGCCAGTAACAGAACTGCTGGGTCAGGTCTTCCTGGCTGCTGGCTGCTGGCTCAGAGACCCAGGGAGGGAGGTACCATCAAGGTGAAGTGGTAGATGATAAGATATTCAAGCAGACGGAATCCCAAGTCCTCACATCTCCTTCCCTTTTTGGCAATAATTTAGTGAGATGGTTGAGAGAGACAAGAGATTTCAAATGAGCCAGATTAAGGAAACAAAACAAAAAAAAACAAAAAAAAAAGAGAGAAAGAGCGAAGAAATCAAGTCCCCAACAGGCACTAAAATAAAAATGATTTGTTGTAACAAGTCAGAGGCAATTTGAGGGCCTGACATAAACTAATCGTCTTGGATACCAGACAGTCCTCTGACTGGCACATGTTAGGGAGACAAGCAATGATAAAGCTCAAACACTGAAGGTGGAACCATCATAGGGCTAAAACCAGAAAGGCTTCCAAGTAAGAAAGTATCTACTTTTCTTTCCTTTTAAAAATCCCCTTCTGTTTTCATCTTTATCATACATGTTATACATCTTCACTCACTCACTCACACACACACACACACACCACACATACTCTCAATCCCAGGGCATCTGGAAATGTATCTGGACATAACTTCAGAACATGCCCAACTCCCAGCACTGGTCCTCTCGGGTAAGGAGATGACCTTTCCCTGCTGTTAAATTCTAACCGAAAAAGAGGTGTCTGCTCCAAGTTCAGAGTCCTTTCCACTAGGTATACAGATGAGGATCCTTGAACAGGTAGGACCCAGTTTACCCTAAGTACCCTAGAGAAGAAAGAAATGGCTGGGGGACAGCCACAAAGAGAGGACTAGGACTGAAGCAGGTCTGGGACCAGGTGGTGAACGAGGGCTGCTCTCTACTCAATCTGCCTCTTTTTATCTCCTTTAATTTTTTTGTGTTTTTTTAGTTTGTTTGTTTTTGTTAATCACTATGAAAAATACAGAAACCAAACCAACATGTTTGGTTTCTTTCCCACACCCTTCCACCCTGTTCAGGATGCAATTTGTTCTCACAACCGGCAGAGGCAGAAGAGCGTTGGAATGAAGACACCGAAGGCCACGAGGATGGGGAACATGAGGCTGCTGTTGTCCGAGGCGTAGGGGTTGGGCGTTCGGGGGCCTGACTGCACCCGGTTCTTATTGGTCTGTCTTTTGAGATTAGATCCTTCATCGTATTCTTCTTCCTCCTCTTCCTCTTCTTTCTTCTCCAATCCTGGATGAGGCTGCAGCTTTGGTACATCTGACATAAAAGAGGATACCTTTTAAGTAACACCTACAGCATTTAAGTGAGAAAATGAGTCACAATAAAGAGAAGCTATGACCTAACCAGGGTCCAAAGGAAGGAGCAGAAGTAGTAGAAATAGCTTCTGGCCTGGAGAACAGCAGATTCCTAAAAACATTAGCCTTCTTTAGATTTTTTTATTTTATTTTTATTTTTGAGCCCTCTTTAGATCTAACTAAAAAGTAGTAAAAGCCCTGCACACCGGAAGGGTCAGTATCTCTGCTTCCAGTCTTAGTTCTCCAGATCCCCAAGAGGACAGACTGGACAAGGATGACACAACACCCAAACTTAACCTTTCCAAATCCCTCCCATAATCCATCCCTTTTGATTCACAAAGCAGCTGAGGAAGAGCTGATCCAGAGTTCTGGGTTCCCACACATACTCCCCCTCTGCTCTGTCTCCTCCTGAGGGACTGAGCTACAAATCTGTTGGTAGCAAGACATCCTCCTAGATGTCATCATATCAGCATGTGGGGGACATCAAGACAACAGGATGAGCCCTGGCCAGGTGGCTCTGTTGGTTGGAGTGTCATCCTGTGCACCAAAATGCTGCGGGTTCAATTCCCGGTCAGGACACATACCGAGGCTGGGGTCTGATCCCCGGTTGGGGCTCGTATGAGAGGCAAAAGGTCGATATTTGTGTCTCACATAGATGTTTCTCTCTCTCCCTCTTTTTTTCCCCTTTCTCTCTCTTTAACCAATAAACATATCCTTAGGTGAGAATATAAAAATTAAACAAAGACAACAGGATGAGATCCTTAGTGCATTCAGGGTGAGTTGGGAAAAGGTGCAGAGGTGGAATGGGGAGAAAAGTCACTAAAATACAAGCTTTCTCTGCAAAAATCAGCCTGGGAAGCTGGAGGCCAACATAGTCTCAACCTTGAGAAAGAACTATCCCCTGAGGCTGGATCACAAGGATAGGGAGACATTAATACATGAACTTCTGTCCAGTGCAGTCTGGCAGTGCTGGAACCTCCAGAGCACACAGAAACCATGAAGAACTCCTTTGTCCCCCCGCCACCCCCCGAGGAAATAGACATCAAAGAAACAGAATAAAGAAAAGTTTTAGGCAATTCCAAATGACTATAAGGGTCAGGGCACACCAACAGGTACCATTATTAATCACAATTTACAATGAAGTTAAAGGAACTTGTCCAAAACCAAACAGCTGATTAAATGGCAGGAATAAAATTTAAACACAGATCATGCTCTAAAGCTTATGGCCAGCACCATGCTACACTCCATCCCAGCAATCTGACGCTGGAGTCTCCACAACTGGCTTTAAGTAATAGTTTCCAAGCAGTGAGCAGCTCAATTATTCCCCCAAGGGTTTTCTCAACCACATCCTCCAGCCCAAGTCAAAACGCGGATCAAAAACAACTTACCATCCACCGTCCCAGCCATGATGTAGAGCGCACAGACTTTGGGATTGTCGTAGTACCCCTAGGAAGTGAGAAACAGTGGTCAGCCCCACAACAGCAAGCGTTCCCCTGCACCCAATCTTATGCGCTCTTCCTCAGCGGGGAGGGCAGAAGGGGAGCATTACCTTGACAAACTCGATGTAGAGTTTTCCTGTGAAGGTGGATACCTCCCCCTGGACGCTCAGCTTCCCTTTTCTGATGCTCATAGGGATGATTTCATCATGAGCTGTGCTGTGCCCAACACGATCAAAGATATCCAAGTCCTTCACCACGACATGGCCATTCAACCGCACATCAAATACCTTCCAAGATAAAAAAGGAGACAGTGTCAAAACCATCCGTTTCACACCCTTTCAGCAGCTGGATAACAGGCACCTGCTTGGGCTTCAAGTTAAAAAATAACTTAAAAACAGGGCTAGATATACTCTAGGGTGACTGGAGTCCTTTACCTCATCCAAATCCAGTCCATGTCCCTTCTCTGTCAGGGAGGCCTCATACTGGCCTTAGGAAACAAAGAATACAAGCACAAAGTTCAACATGGAGAGAAGGAGATTCACAGGAGGGGACAGGAAAAGAACAAGGCTGAAAACAAGAAGGTGCTGACAACAAAGAAGGAGAGATCACCTGGAGGGAGGGCCTTAACTGGATCAGTTTGTAGCCAAGAGCTAGGATTCTGGTATTGCTTTCTGTCACCAACCCCATGGCAAGTGCAGCCTTGTGAGCAATGGGACACCAGCTTTTTAGGGGCAAAAGGAACCCAGCTTTTCCTTCAAAGCTCATCTGTTCTTCCCTTCTGGGAGGCCCACAGCAGAAGACTATCCAAAAGTGGAAATGTCTCACTGGGGAGGGGGCGCGGGCAGGGGGGCTGACCAGGCCTCACCTTCTGCTGGGACTGTGCAAAGTAGACCTCAGCAAATTTCAACACCAGCACATAGTCCCCTTCCTCCTTGATGGGCACTTCGTAGCCGAAGGTCTCCTCATTGTACCGCTCTGTTTGATATAGGATCTGGTCCTCGGGGTTGGAACGGAGGATTGGCAGTTTCATGCCATAGTCAGAGGCTGGGGACAAAAGACAAAGAGAAACCACATCAGAGGCAAAACATAAAAGAAAAGCAGAGACCCCAGAGTGGCCAGAGGCATTTCCAGGGCGATGCTAATAACCCCCCAGTGGAAGCCCAACCCCTCTGCACCTGGCCCCAAAGGCACGAGAACCAGTATTAAGCCAGAGTCAAATGAAAGAAACCACACACTAATCACCCCAACAGATCCCTTCACCCTCAGAGCAGGACTTTATAAAAGTTCTTCTTTCAGAAATGACTTTTTCTCAACTGTATAGGGAAGAGAACAAGTCCAACTCATTATTAGAACAAAGCACTATGCTCCAGCTGCCTGGTTCCCTGCGAGGGAGCGCTTCAGAGAAGCCTCATAAAACAAGGGGGATGGCCAGGAACTCCACAAGAAGATTAAGTTCAATGAATGGGTTTTTTTCCTCATTTAGAAAAGCTCAGAGACTATAAAACACGGTATCTGTTAGGAAAGTTGTTCTTCATTGTCTTTACCACAAGTAAGATACCAGCTTTAGTTGCTTCGTATGATTTTTCATTCGAAAAGTTCGAAGGCTGGAAAGGAGAAACATGCTTATAAAAAGAAGGGTGTGATGCTCTAATTTCCTTTAGGTCCGAGCACCATACTTCCCAGACTCACAAAATTCAGCCTCACCCACTCTCTTGAGCATTCCCCCAGTTAAAGGAAAAGAAGAAACTTTCTCCTGTGTCACCAGCACCTAACAGGGTCCCTGGCACATAAATAGGCACTTGCTATGATTTGCTGAGCGAACCAATGGCAACAAAGGAGGTGCTTGCAAGGCAGTGAAGCCATGCTCTTCCCCCACAGGGCTAGAGCCACCCCAGCAGGGAAAGAACACCTGTAAGGTCCTATGGCACCTCTGGCTTAAGATGACCAAGTGCTGGGGAGTTACCTTTCCCACATCACAGACTGACAAGGAATAAGACAGGGTACAAGTAAAAAGACACTTACTGTGGGTCGGTACCGAACAGCCCCCAGCCCTCCCCTGAACTTGGTAGGAGATGATACAGCATATGTGTATCTTCCCCCCACTTAACAAACGGGGGTCTTTCCTCAAATGTAAGATACTACCTCCAGCTCCAGAGCGGAACAGTCATGCTTCCCCTTTCGGAGAGGAGGCTCTCTGACTCCTTTATCCTGTACACAGCGAGGCTTCCCAGTGCTCCAAAAATCTGCTTTCCAAACTAGTGACTGGACAGTGACCTCGGCCCACAGGCCTGGCCTCTCCTCCAGCTTGGAATTAAGACTTCAGGCCACCTTCCCATCTCGCAGTGACTCTGAAGACACTTGGCACCTAGATCCTTTGGGAGGTGTCTAGGAGAGGCCACCCCTGGGCATGTCTTCTGAATCACCAAACTCCAAGGGAGAGAATATTTTAAAAGAATAACTGAGATCCAATGACTGAGGTCAAGCCCTCAAAGAAGATAAACAAACCTAACTGTTAACCGTGCCTGTAAGGGAACAGGAGCCTGCCATCAGATGGACTGAGGAAACAACGCACCAGAAAGCTCACCGCACCTTTGTCTTCAGACTCTTCTTCTTCCTATTTCTCCTCAAGAAATCAGAGTAGCTGAGTAACACCACAGAGGATGTCCTGCTAACGTGCCCAGCTCTTTCCCAGGCTCACACGACATTACACCGGGGCATAAACCTATGAAGATTAAGACTGCTATTTTTTCTTTCAACTGAGTTCTAAGAATTTCCTTCTTCCATGAGGACCAAGATCCCCATAAATTTGGAACATTAACTAGATTTGCTTTTTAGATACACCGAAAATTTTGTGCATGTGTGGGAAACCTTTTATTTTTTTCTTGCAGAGTGGAAAAAATGAGAAATTAACAATAATGTAATCTCTGGCAGTTTCAGTCCAACAACTAAGGAAACTCAGCCATGTGAACAAAAACTACTTAACAACCTTGGAATTACCTTTAAATATTTGCCCTTTAAAGTCCAAGTGGCATTCCCAGGAGATCTGCCACATGCAAAGTTGAATTTGCCCAAGTCCCAAGAGATACAGCTGCGAAAAGGACTTTTTCTTCCGTCCTTTGCCTTTATGTATTCACAGCTAAACAGATTTCTCTAAAAACAGTGAAGTGTACACAGTACACTGCTAAAGTTGGCACAATACAGCTCAGACAGCCAGAAAGGAAGGGGCCAAGGGGCCTACATTATGTCCGCTGTTTCTTAGACAATGGAGTAGCCAGCCCAGGTTTTAGAGTAAGACAGAGGTAGATTTGAATCCCGGCTTTGCCACCTACTATGTGATTCAGAACAAGTTATTTTCTCTGGGTGTTTTCTCACTTGTAACATGGGGATTTCACCTACCTAAATTCTCTTGTGAATTCTGCTACTTAGAGGGGCTGCAAATGAAGCCTGCATCTTAGGTGACAGTATTAGGGACAGAATTCTAAACAAATCCTGTGGCCTTAAGCAAACCAGAGGCATCCTATCTTTCAAGCTCTTATCTCACCAAGGCCAAAGTCTGCCCCAGCTAAAAGAAGGCTGCCCAGAAAAGGGCTTCCTTAGTCATCTGATAGGCTTAGGCCCCTAGCCAGTTTTCCCCCCCTCTGCAGCCATGTTCTACCCTACTTTTTTTTATTTTTTATGTTTTTACTAGAGGCCGGTGCACGAAATTTATGCACTGGGGGGGGGGGGCCCACACACGGTCCCTCAGCCCAGCCTGTGCCCTCTCGCAGTCCAGGAGCCCTTGGGGGATGTCCGACTGAGGCCCACTCCCTGAGCGCTAAGGATGTCCAACTACACCATCAGATGGACATCCTTAGTGCTGCCAGGGCAGCAGGAAAGACTCCCGCCACAGTGACTGAGCTCGCCAGCCGTGAGCCCGGCTTCTGGCTGAGCGGTGCTCCTGCATTGAGGTTCTGCATCCTGGTGGTCAGTGCACGTGGTAGCGACCGGTTGTCCGCAGTTTGGTCAATTTGCATATCAGCCTTTTATTATATAGGAGGATTGATTTTTTTAGACAGAGAGGAAGGGAGAGGTATAGAGAAATAGAAACATTGATGAGAGAGAAATATCATTGATCATTTGCTTCCTGCATGCCCCCCACAGGGAATCAAGCCTGAAACCTGGGCATGTGCCCTGACCAGAATTGAATCAGTGACCTTTTGGTTCCTGAGTCAGTGCTCAACCTCTGAGATACACTGGCCAGGCTACCCTACTTTTAATTCCATATTAAAGGTCATCAAGCAAAGAAAAAGATAAAGACACTTTAACCTACTCTGGACAGGAGAGTTTTCAGATTCCTATCACTGATTTCTAAAGCATGGTGTTTTATTAGAAGGAAAATAAGGCACAGAGAGGTAAAGTAAGTTTTTCAAGGTAATACAAATGATCAGCGGCTACCTTTCTATGAAGAGGAAATAGCCTCTCCTCAAACCAAGCCAAGCGCTATGCCCTCAGGTCAAATAACTAGGTTTTTTCTTCCTTAGAATCAAGAGGAACCCAGAATATGCAAGTTACAAAGCACCTAGAACATGCAGCATGCCAAATCCCACATTGAGCGCTTCTGAGAGTCATGCTCCTCCGCAGTGGTACTTTCATCTATTGAATCGCACAAGTTGAAAAAGCCTTTCCCAAGCTGTCCATACCTCCTATGAACACTAACTATCCTCAAGGCAGAAACGAAGTTCAATAAACATTATGAAGGGCCTTTGAAAGCAAAAGCCACGAGGTGCCCTGGGCCACTCACAGTTACATGAATGCTGAACTACAAAGACACTATAGAGAAACAGCAAGTTCAAAAGCAGGCCAAACCCTTATCGGGATTAACTTGGCAACAAATACCTGAATTCACTCAAGGTAAAATGAACTTTCTTTAGCGTGCTGGAAACAGTCTCTCAGGCCTGGGGGGAGAGGGAAGCCATGCAGCTCTTACTGCAATCAGTGTGAGCAGCTACACGAGGCAGAGGTCTCCAAGAAGCTGGCACGCCCTTCTCCCAACAGTGCCAGCCAAGGAAAGCAGCGCGAACAGCTGCACTTCCCTGGGTGGTGCCACTCCTTAGCACAGAAGAAACTAGAGAGCCGCCTCCTGGGAGTGGAAGCTTAATCACATCTCAGCCCAGACCTAATGCCAGCAAAACGCTACTCTCAGGCACCCAGAGGTGCAACCCTCAACAGGCTGGGCCAGGCTGCAGCGGGAAAGCAGGTTCCACTCTCCAGCCTTAATGCTGCTACAGTTCTGACCCAAATGACAGACTGGAGCAGGGAACTCCACTGACAGAGTGCCTCGAGGCCAGGGTCTGGTCCGGACTCCAGGACACATGAGCTTTGTAGGTCTCCTGCAATTCTAGTTGCCACAATAAACGCCAAAGAACTGCCACCACGAGCCAATAACCCAAGGACAGGGAGCCTGGTGACTGGTGATCAAGCCAAAAGCCAAAAACAACACCTGTTCCCGCAAATTAAAACCGGGATTTCTGAATAAGAGGAGTAGCAGGGGACTACACCTGTGTGGTCCTAACTTCCTCCTCCGCCCGATGGGCTAGAAGGATCAGGTAACCCATGGAAAGTCTGGTGTCTGTTTGTGAAAGGAGCCATCACCACAGCTGTCTCCAGAGGCAAAGTCCACCAACGTCTCCAGTTTCCTCAGGGCGCACCCCCAGGAGGAAGAGGAAGGGTCCCGGATGGAGACGGCCTGACCTCATGCTGCGAAGTCTGGCTTTGGCGGCCGGTACAGCTGCTGGGAACTGGGGCCCGGACTCCGCTGAACCCAGGTTCCTGAGACCTACAGGCCAGGGCCAAATCAATTCCAAATCAAACACAGAACCTCAGAACACAGCCCTGTGTCCCAGCGCCCGCACATGTATGTAAGCCATTAGCTCCCTAATGTGACCACCTCCGGGACACTGCAACGAACTTGGAATAACTAGGTTCAAGGCTTCAGTCCAGGCGAAGCCAAACCTGGGCACGGTGGAAAGGAGCGCCCGAAAGCCTGGCTCCTGGTTGTCTGGAGATGCATGTGGCCACGGTGGCTGCTCTGAACCCAGCACACAGCGCGTGAAGCAGGGAACTCCTGCTCAAGCCTGTTCCCAACCCCCTTCCAGAAGGAACAGACGGAGCAGATTTCCCCAGAGAGCGGTCCGGGGGACCGACCTCAGAAGCCCTGGTGCAAGAACCCGGGTTTCATTTCTTAGGTCTGGGGTTTGCATTTTAACCAGCTCCCCTGGCAATTCTCCCACCGGCCTGGAGGTCTGTGCGGCTCTGTAGGAACTGCTGCTGCTCCATCTGTGAAGTGAAAGTCATTCTCCCACAAGCTGGAGCAGCCACCTCCCTGGACACCTAGGGTGGGTCCTACACAGTCGGAATATTCGGACCTTAGCCGGCGCCCCCGCTGACCCCCACGGCCCGGGCAGGAGGGCTGCACATCACCACCCTCTGGGGGGCCTGCAGCGGCCACCTTTAAGCTCACACCGTCCTCGCTCCAAGGGGGGCGGGAGGAGGCAGTGCCCAAACTTCCCTGTCCACTCTCTCCCAGGCTCCCTGCCGTCTGGCTGAGCACCCATCCCGCTCCTGCAGTGGGAGGTCGGCAGGGATCACCAGGACTGGGCTCGATCGGAGAGAACCACGGGGCCGGGGACACCGACAACCTACACCCGCGCGGCCTCGAGGTGCCAGTAAGCCGCCCTCGCCTGTACTTTTCTCTCAGCTCGGGTGGAGGCGAGGGGTTAAGAAAATGCAGGCGGCGAGGTCCGACTATAACTTTTCGCCAACTCTCTGCCTCAGTGGCTCTTGGTGGCGTCTCGAGCCAGGGCCGGGCTGTGAGCTGTGACCGGGTCCCTGAGGAAACTGCAGAGAAACTTCGCTCCAGGACGCGGCCCCAGGGTCGAGGCAGGGGCGCGGGGCCC